GCCCCCCCCACCTCCCCCCCCCGCCAGCACCGGGGAAGCCGAGCCGTGCCGGCTCCGGGGCGAGGAGCCGGGGCCGGTCTGCGGCTCCTGCCGGCAACAGGAGGAGAGCCCGGCTGGCTGCAGCCCAGGAGGGCCGTGGGAAAAGAAGGGCAGTGCTGGTAATTGGGTGCCCCCCCCGGCTTCTGCTGCCGCCTCCCCCGTCCCAGCCGTCGGCCTCCATCCTCCCAGGGGCCGGCGGTTTCCTCCAGCCCTGCCAGAGCAGGAGGCTGTGCCGCGGGGGCCACAGGGCAGGGATCCTGCTCAGCCCAGAGCCTTTTGTGATCCTGAACTCGGGCTTTTACGTGGGAGCATTGTTGGTGCAGCTGAAGAACGGGGAGACCTTCACCCACCTTTCCTTTCTCCTGGGTACAGCCTGTAACTGCATTGCCTTCCCCTGCAAGAAGGGGTTTGATGTGCACAAGCAAATCATTTCAAATGCTGAAGTCCCACAGCTTTGTCCCTCTGGTTTCATTTCAGCCTAAAGTAGTGTTGTTAAGTCAGGTGTTTTTCTTCCCCCCACTATCCTTTAAGGCGCAGAGGCTGCTGGCACACCGGAGACCGCAGAAATCCTTCTTCGAGACGCTCATCAGGAGCCTGATCATCTTGTGCGTGGCGATAGCGGTGGTCTTGTCATCCATCTCCGTCTGCGATGGCCGCTGGCTCTTCGCGAGGGGGCAGCTCTTCGGACTGTGGCACTTCTGCACCGTTAGCAACGGCAGCGTCCTGAAGTGCGTCACTGACCTCAGCCTGGCCAAGGTGGAGGGGCTGAGCGTGGGGGTGATTCCCATAAGAAGCATGGTGTCCTTTGCCGTTGTGGTTGCCATATTTGGCCTGGAGCTCCTGATGGTGTCCCAAGTCTGCGAGGATGCCAACGCAAGGCGGAAGTGGTCGATGGGCTCGGTTCTCATCCTCGGCTCATTTTTGCTGTCGGCCACTGGGGTTCTGAGCTTCTCCATCCTCGTGAAGGATCACCTCACCTTCACAGGCTTCACGCTGACGTACTGGTGTGAGTTCATCGCTGCCTTTCTCTTCTTCCTTAATGGGATCAGTGGACTTCACATCAACAGCCTCACACACCCCAGGAACAGGGTAGGCAAAATCTAGGCACAAAGGGTGTACCTCCACCTTTGTGTAATCAGCTTTGCCAATTAGACTGGAAAAAAGGGAGTCTAATGAAGCTTGAAAAGGACACCGTGTCTTAAATTGTGTGCAAGGAGGGGGAGCATGAGTCAGTCGTGATGCCTGTAGAAGACATACCCACCCACTGGTCAGCGTGGAGGGCTGTGCAACACGAGCAAAGCAGAGACTGAGACTGGCTGCCGCTGAAATGCATTTTTCTGGAGTGGTTTAAAGAAGAGGGTGTCCCGTTAAACGTGTGGAGGGGTGGCAGACATGCGAGCTCAGTTTTGAGGCTTACACAAAGCCTGCACTGCTGTGAGTTTGGTGTTGCTGGGCTTTCCCCTGTACTCTGGAGCCTGTGAAGAGCATGACACAATTTTGGCATGTCTCATGGCTTTGCTCTGTCTCAGGGACAGATGATTTGTCCTGGCCATGCTCACTGGCATGGAGTATTGAAAATCTTCACTGGATCTCACTCCTCCATTTCTCTTTCAAAAGAGAAGGCACACAGGTCTTGATCTGGTCACCAGTTTTGTTTCCTGCTGGCACAGTCCCTGTATCTGTCCTTTCCTCTGAGTTTTTTGGGGACGCCACTGCCGGAGGTGCAGGGAGATGAGCTGCCTGTAGGATACGTGCCAATAAGTCGCCCAAACTGACTCTCTCGCAGCCCTTGCAAAGTTCACTGTAACGGGGCATTTCTCTTCCTGGTTTCTTTTTTGTCCATTTGGGGCAAAGAAGGACAAGCTCTGCAGGGGGTTGAGGTGGGCATTGTGGCTGGGCAGACCATGCTGAGACCACTGCACCTTCTGGCGTCTGTTTCTGGTTGTCGGAGTTTCCTCCTAGGGCAATGGGAAATCTGCTCATCCTGTAGCATATCTTCTGGGAGGAGAAAGCTCTAGGTCCTCCTGACCAGACCAAGTCCTTTTCTTCCCCTGATTAACAGTGGGTCTGGGAGGAGAATAAGCCCAAGACTGCCTCAGGAGAGGCTGATGGGGGCAGCTCTAATCTGTCACAGCTGATGGAAGTCCAAAGAGACTTAGCCAAAATTATACTTGGTCTGGTCTTCCTCCTGCCAATGCCTGAGTCAGGATGTCTACAATTGCTGTAGCTTTGAAGTTCCCCATGATGTCTGATGTAAAATGAGAAAAGACCTCAGAGGTTGGGTTGCCCCACATGGCCTCCCTGCCCAACATACAGCACTCCACTGACCACAGATAAAAATGTCTTCAGACAATTTCAGGGTCTCTGGTTTAATGTTTGTTTTGTATCCTCTGGTAAGGTTGCTTGTATTTTTGTGTTAGGACAAATGTTTCTACATGTTTCATCTCTGTAGCTTGTCTGATAGCTGTTGAGCAAGGTTTTCATTTCCTGTGCAGCAAGTTTGACACAATTTTTCACCTGAAACAAAAGCAGCATAGCACAAGGGCTGAGGAGGCTGTGTAGGTGAGCCACGAGTAAACAACTTTGTCTTTGAAAGCTAAGGATCTTGAGTCCTCCCTGAGCATACATCCGCACTTGCTGAATGTGCTCCTGTGGACTCGCTTGCCTTCATGAGGACAGCCTCCATTCCTTCTCAGATTTCTGCAACTTTTTAAGACAACACTCCTGTTGTCTTAAAAACCTGTTTTGCGATGCAGTTTCAGTCCAGGCTTACTCTGGACAGTGCCAGTTGTGCTTTTGCACATGAATCTGCCCATCTTTCTAGTGAGATAATGCACAAAGCTGTGCTAGCCAGCCAACTCCTGAAGCTCTTGCAATGTTTGGGGCTCTGTCAGGGTTTCTTGACCCACTCTCAAGGACAAGGACTTGTACCTTTAACCTGCCTCTGGAAAACTGCGCTGTGATTGTGTTTCTCTTTGTGAAGATGCTTTTGATTTGCCGAATTTTACTGTTGAACACATGCTAGTGGGCTGAACTTGCAGATGCTTGTGTGAGCAGTGCTGTTGGCTTTAGCAGAGCCACTTACCCCAGAGAGATTCTGCAAGGTCTGGTCCCAAACCGTTGCACTTTGGTGTTACCAGGTGGTAGAGTGCCTTAACTAACCAGTAAATCAGTTGTGG